AGGTGCTGATTCATTATGAGTAAATTACTTACAGACCATGACTGGTTAAAGTATAGACAAAGAACTAAGATCATGATTGGCTGAATTTTTCTTTTTTTTTTTTTTTTTAACAATATGGTCTTTTGGCTCTAGGGTTCCAAGTCTGTCTCACGATGGTTGTTGTTTATTTATTATGTGGGCTAAGTATGATATTAGGTAGATCTTTAACTTGCTTCATGGGGTAAATTTTTATTTAGTTTTGGTACACACATCTATGGTCCGTTGAACCAATTAGAGCACTCTGTTCCACTTTGATGTAGTTTTCTGTTGTTTCAAGCTTTCAGATTATGACAAATACATTGGCCTTTTGCAGTTATGGCCTGCTGTGGTTAGGTTAACCCTTTAGCAATCCCTCCTTTTTATCAGTGATTGCTGTAAATACATTGATGATCACAAGATGATGTCTAGACTTTGCTGGCCTCCTAGATGGTGACCATGACAGGCACTTCAAATTCACAGTGCGCTTTTCACTGGATACCATCTGGTTCTTTGCCGGGGTCATTAGGTGAGGGTTGCAGCTCCCTTAATTGTATTGCAGAAGTGGGCAGAATCAATGTACATTATTTGTTTCAGAGTTGGACATGCTCTAGGGTGCTGGCATTTATTAATTCCAGCAACCACACATTTGAATAAAATATAGATTAAGCCAATTAATATTATTATCATTAAAATGCCTTGTAGGAGAGAGTGAGCCCAAGATCGTATCTCTTGGGGTATCCATCCAAATAAATCTGGGGTTTGTAAAGGAGGAATAGAGTGCAAACCCTGGTGACATAGTTGTTAAGAGCTATGGCTGCTAACTTAAAGATTGGCAGTTCAAATCCACCAGGCACTCCTTGGAAACCCTATGGGGCAGTTCTACTCAGTCTTAGAGGGTCGCTGTGAGTCAGAATTCACTCGATGGCAACAGGTTTCTTTTTTTTTGGGGGGGGGTAAACAACGTGCTAAGTTTATACATGTCTTGCTCCACAATTCCAGAGATATTTATCCAAGAGCAACAGAATGTATTGGCCACCACACATACCTCTCCTTGTTGTGCCAATAAGAAGTCTAACGAAAGCTGATTGCTCAGAATCACCTTTTCCGGAGAGGTTAATGATTTTTGCTGAGCTGACATTCCATCAGCAACATTATCAGTTATTCGTGCTATTGTGGCAGGCAGGTTTTGTAAAGATTTTTCTAATTCTACTATACCATATGAGGAAATTTATGCTCTTAAAAATGACCCACCCCACCCTGGCTTTTCTGCTATGGAAGTTTCATATGCTTCTCTTTTGGTTATTGAAATTAGTTTGATATCACTCATCCAATGTTGACTAGCGTTTTTGGAATACATGTCAAAGAGGACACTCATTAATCCTAAGGTACATTGCCCTTGCATTCTCCACCTCTGTACACACAGAATAGCCCATGCATAAGGACTGTCCTTAAGAAAGAGGTAGGTTAAACCACTGTAATCAGATCCCCCGCATAGGAACACACAATCATAAGGGGCACAAATGATAGTACTGGTAAAAATATTAATCCTTGTTTAAAAGAAATATTGTGGAATAATAACTTGTTGATAAATAAGGCATCCAGTTTGCCCAAAGATGCCAAAGAAATTCATGTCCAGAATGAAAGTTTATTCCAGTAAAGACAATTACTGCCCCCAGTATAATAGAAAAGGTCCTGTGCAATCAACAGACTAGCAGGTTGCTGATTCAGAATGGAACTAGCAGATGCCATGTCATAGACTCAGCTTTTGTTTCTGCTGTTAGCAGATTGAGCACATCAATTACAGTGGCCAGATCAGTCTTGGTGATGGGAGCCCCATTCATATCCTGAAGTTCTGCCATAATGGTTACTTTGATTTTGAGTACATTGAAATCACAGAGTGATGGGGAAAGAGATTATGTTTCATCCACAGAACAGGTCAACTTGGCTACCAAGTTTTTGATAGTTGTATATGTGTGTTTGTTTTTTCCAAAGAAGACTTCTGGTAAGCATTCTTATTTATATGGTATACAAGTATCTTCAGGTTTCCCTTTTTTCTCTGTCATCCTATTCAGTATTTCTGTCAGTAATAACTACCCTCAATTTGAAATACTGAGTCATGATTTTTGTTCACCCCAAAACTTTTGTTTTTAGTTCTTTTATATGATTTTTCCTCAAATAAGTTGGTGTCAAGTGCTTTATCTTCAATCTCCCTAATTCTGACTTCCATTGCCTCAATTCTGCTCCTATGACTTTCTACTGAGTTGTCTAATTCTGAAATTTTATTGTTAATCTTCTGAATTTCTGTTTGCTGTCTCTCTGTGGATTCTTGCAGCCTGTTGAATTTGTCATTATGCTCTTCTATAATCTTCTTAAGTTCCTCTATTGCTTTTTCTGTGTGTTCCTTGGCTTGTTCTGCATTTTACCTCAACTTCCTGATCTCTTGAAGAGTTCTGTATATTAATATTTTGTATTCTACCTCTGGTAATTCCAAGGAGTTCTCTTCCTCTGGAAGACTTATTTTTATTATTATTATTATTTTTATTGTTGTAGTTTAAATGAAGTTTACATTTCAAGTTAGTCTCCCATACAAAATTTTATACATATATTGTTATGTGACCCTAATTGCTCACCCCATTCTGCGACAGCACACTCCTCCTTT